GCATATTTATACAAAACAAACAAACAAATAAATAATTTAAAATGTATATAGGGTTGGAATTGTGGAGTTTTTGGTCCTAGAAGTCCTGGCCTACTGACATTACTCTGTGAGCCTCAAGGTGCCCTGAAGAGCAGCAGCCCCACCCCTACCCAGTGATGGAACCATGCCCCTCCTGGCAGGGAGGCAGAACACACTGACAGATCAACTGGGCTCCCCTAAACCAGCCAAGGAGATGAAAATGAGAATGGGAGTTGCCTCCCTTTTCAACTTCAAATACTCTTGCAATTAGCTGTAAGTTTAAGAACCCTTGTGTTTCAGCTGGTAAAGAAGAAGCTAGAAATCATGTATTTTATCTAGTTTCTAAGTTTTAATTTCTTCTTAGTAGCAAATAAAATGAGGCTGTTCAAAAGTATGTAAAGCTAGCTCCATGCAGCCAAGTCCACTTTAATTTACAGCTTCAACCGCAGAGGGCAGCAAACAAAAAGGAACTGAGCACTAAAGTCTGCAATTCCCTGCTGCTGGCAGTTCTGGAGACGACTGCAATCCCTGTTCTACCAGGATCAATACGCAAGCAATTGATTTTGTTGGGCTTTTGGGTTCAGTTGTGCTGACAGAGCTTTTTCTATTATCCCCCCTTCTAAGAGACAAAATTAATTAATCATTTTGACTTAAAAGCTGCACTTGGCTTAGTCTCACAAAGTATCTCCCAAACTACTGGAATAGAAAGTAAAAGCTATAAAGGGAAATCCCTTTTTATGATTTGCTAGTCAAATAATGTTATTACAATCTATCCTTCATCTAGCAATTTAGTAATATTTTGATTTTGCATTGAAAATATACTACTGAAGACCCCTAAGTAACTTAATTCCTTTTGCCTTTTGCACCAGATGGTCAACACAACACTGAATCAGCATACTCAAGTATAGAACATGGACAATGAGCAAAATTACATCTCTAGTATTACATGTAGCTTTGCCTGTTCTTGGTTTGATACACAGATACACATCCACAGGTAATAATCAAAACTGCCTTACATGTAGATCAGTATTTTGCATTTGCAAGTTCAGACACCTAACTGAAGCCTGTCTGCAACAGAAGACTGAGATGCCTGTTGTAAATTTGGCTTTGGCACTTTATTATCTCTAAAGAATTTTCTTTCACTTTTTTTTTTTTGCCTTTTGGAATACTTTTAAATAGCTGTGGTAACTCCAAGTCTAATACCAGATGGACTAGGTCTATTTCTTTGAGAGAAGAAATATTTTATAATGCCATATTAAGCATACCAAGCAGAATATTCCGATAACCAGATTGAGATGTCAAAAGCAACCAAATATGCATGCTCTAAAGAAAATTTCCAATTTTTCACTACACTAAAAACCAAACCAAACAAAAAACAACAGATGTACATCATGGAACAAGCCCAGTCTATTTCTGGTATTTGACAAAACAGTAATTTAGAAAAATTGATTCTAATAATGAATTCTTCTTGCATATAAACTCAGTAGAAAATTTGTTTGTTGAACAGAGAGTAAAAATCTAGAACTAAAATTTAACCTCACAGTTTTATTTGACTAGCACATGTACACTTTTATGCTTAGAGTAAAATAACTAATGAAAATAGAGGCATTGCATATACGAGTTTTATGAGGTCTTTTTTTACGGCAACACTGAGGTTTTTCCTTACATACTCTACTGCAGAAATAGATATATGTACATGTATGGAGGAATTGCTTCTCATATATACAAGGCAGAAAGTAGTAAAAAAAATTAATTTCATTTACACATGAGTAAGATTAAGTTGTTACATTGCCATTTACTTATTAATGGAAAGTAAATATTCATTTTAGGAAACAAGTCCATTGTCTGGATGATATTGGAGAAAAAGAGGAATATTTAGCTGAATTGCAGACACTGGAGATAGAAACACACATCAAAACAACTTTTGTACCATCCTATCAGTGGCTTCTTGAAATAGGAAAAAAAGGAGCTGTATCACCATGTCTGGTAAGACTACTGAATGCCTTAATCACAAACTTTTACTGCAATCTCAAAGTACTAATCCCAAACCTCTCCTTTATGCTGATGTTTTATACTCTTACAAATTCAAATTATGGAAGAAACCACACTAATTTCCTGTTTCATGGAAGAGGATACTACACAATACAACTACACTCATCCTTCTGCATCTATAACAATTAGTGATCCCTAACCAATCTATCCTTTTCATGTTTCTTACTAGGTCAATGTTTTAGTTTATTATTTCTCACATTGTTTTGATTAATGCACATTTCCTTTTTGTCAATGAGGATCTGCTGCACAGTATCTCCCACTAAATGTTAGCTTCACACTGAATCTCAATTTCTTTTATTCTTGCTGTGTTCTCATCTCCCCATTAATCAGAACTAAATTCCAATCTGCTACCTACATCAATAAAGGGAATGCTAATCTCTCAAGTCTGATTTGTCAGACTTGTCAGATTTGTCAGACAGGCAGCTGTAAATATTTTATATTTTTAACAGATTACTTTGCCATCAAAACGACAATCTTGTAGACATGGAAATTATTTAATTAAAAAAACTGGAGATTTGGAGTGTTAGAAAAACTCCCTTTGATTTATACAAAACTAATAAAGTATGACTTTCTAGTTCAGACACTATAAATGTCTGTCTTTTGCAATATTAATATACCACATTTATTTTATATTCCACATTTTTATTACTACTTTCCTTCAGTATCATCAAAAAAATTTCAGACATTAGAAATCAAATTTTTGAGATTATTAAGATGAAAGATTTTATTCATGCAGTACTGACATGTTTGAGAATTTGGAGTTTTCATCTGAATTTGGAACCAGTGCATTATTTTCAGAGGTCAGCTTTTCCTACACACAATGAAAAGAGCTTTTGACTTGCTTTGCTGATCATCCTTTAAGAAGTTAAGTTTTACTTTCTATATCCCATTCAGTCAATACAAGAAGAGCAAATACTTCAGTGAAAACAATTAATTTTCTGTTAGTAACATGGTTCAAAGGAAGTATCTTAATTATATAAAGCTAAATAGCATCTTCATCAACAGTAGACATTCCAGATTGATGAAACTGTGACAGCTCCCTAATTTTTTCAACTATGTTATACTAGTGTCAGCAAAACTTTAATCTCATAATAATTTCCAATTTTTTACAGCTCAAAATCATACATAAACAAAAAATCTCTCAATTCTGTACATGAATGTACTTTCCTCAGCTTTAAAAATTTCTTATACAATGAGATGGTTCCTTGTATGTACATCAGCTAAGCCTAAACTTTTAGTCTAAGCTTCAAGATGGCAAAGTGTGACCTTACCCTTGATGGATATTGCTTAGTAAGTAACATGACTACAAAATGACTAAAGCTTTTCTCCATGAAAATATCTTAATGACCAAAGCTCAAAATTCCATCTCTTGGTTCAGATTAGCAAAAGTAAAATGCATAAGCAAGTGGAAAAAAAGATCCAAGAACAGTCAGCAAACCTCATTTTCTTGTTATTTCATTAGTTTGCTAGAATTGAAAAAATAAAGTTCTAAAAATATTCATCAGCACTGCAAATGGTGATATGAATTATTTTTGTTCACATTACATTAGCAAAAAATATAATTTATTAGAAAAGTGAGGCCATTATTGGAATACACTGAAATCAGTGTAATTTTCTTATTTTTAACTTGAATCTGCTATTACACTTTGGCATTGGGAATACTGGAAAATTACCTCTGTGTTTATAATGCAGCCATGGCACTCAAAAAGTGCTCAGGACAAATGACACTGCCATTTAGATAAAATTATTTGTTAAGTTCATCTGCACTTAGATACTAATTATATTTATTCATTACCAGTTCCTACAGAAATGCCCATTTCGTCTTTGAAAAACACATTAATTCCGCAAGAACTCAATTTCACAGAAAAAGAGCTTTGTGTTTTCTAGCTAACATAAAATAGATTCCTGCAAAGACCAGAAAAACAAAGGAAAAGGTGCTTGGTTCAGGTGTTTCACGCTGTTGATATACTGCATATTCTGAAATTCAGTCATTTCCCTAATTTGCTTTAAATTGGCAAAATCAATTCTTTGAACTAGCATGTAATACAGAAGCAAATAACAATCCAGTACTCATTTCATAAACCTCTTCCTTAAAACTGGACTCCCTCAAATATTTCAACCTCAAAGTAAAAGACCAAGAAAAGAAAATATCACCATTGATATATAACAGCTTTTCTAAAATAAGAAAATGTTAAGATAGCACAAAGTTAAATAAGAAGAGCTGGGTGAATGTGCCTTTCAGCAAATGAAAACTTCTGTTAATTGTCATTTTGCAAGCATTAAGCATAGCTTTATTCCACAATTGCTATAATTATTCAGAAAGCAGGAATAAAGACTTCCAATTACATGTTAATGTATACTCATCATAATGTACATTCACTCAAATCACAGAGTATTTGAGGCTGGAAAGGACCCCCAGAGGTCATCTAACCCAACCTCCTGCTAAAGGTAGGTATAATCATATCAGTTTGCTCAGGGCTGTGTTCAGGCAAGTCCTGCTGGGCAACCCTGGCCAGCATTTAACCAAAATCTCATTAGATATACAATCCAGCCCATCCTGAAAATGCAAATATCTTATTTTTATGCATTAATTATTCAGATATCATATGTGCTGTTAACACTACTGAAAATAAGTGCTGTAGATGCACACCAATTAGAAAAAGCAGTTTCCATCTGTTTTGTCTATCATCCATGAGGTTTGCATGGTGGTGATTCCTTGGAAACACCAGAAGATGTAAGTTAAGCAAATAAGCCAAACCGAATTTTTCAATACAACCATCAGATAAGAACAAAGACAAATTGCTGCAAAATTGTATTTGAGAAAGGATCTTCAATATTCTTCCAAATAGCAATTATTAATAGTAAATAATAAGAAGATAAGCTCTTACCAAATCTCTTACTGTACTACCCATTTCATTTGTGTGTCTTACCGGTCGTTCGTGCTCAAGGATCGATGACTTTCCCGGCTCATACTCAAAAATACTTCTTGGTTCAGAACGGAACTTGCGAGTATCTACCTTTCTGTCAGGAGGGTCCCAGTCGTTCCTGAACAACAAATACAGGTAACTGAGCTAATTTACTGTCACCACCTCGTGATTTACAGCCCTGTACAACAGAAACCTGCAAAGCCAGATGATGTTCACAACAGCTCATATTTCCAGATCTCAGCTGTGGAACATAGAGCCTGGCATTGCAGTGTTTTACTGTAACATCTTAACCTGTTTACAGCAGGTATGCTCAGTACAGCAGGAAGAATACTAGACATGTCCAGCCTGTGATCACTCATATTTTTCTTTTAACTAGTAGATCAGTTTAAAAACTATCCTGGCATACCACGTCAAAAAAAGATGCAAACCATTGCAAATAACTATACATGTTTTGTGCACTATACTAATATAGGCAAGTGGAAGATATTTTTGTCATCACTTAATATGATAATAAGGCCATATTGAAAAAGCTATATAATTTTCTGAGGCAAAAAATGAGGAATTATTTTAAAACACCACGTGATGATCATTATCCTGATCATTGTAGAATTGCTTCTGAATATCCTTGTAAGCAGCATATTGTTACTCTGTCTTGAACAGATAAACAAGAAGAAGAATTTGGCAGTTGAATTTGGAATAGAAATGTAGCCATTTTCTCTATAATTACAAATTTGCTTTCAACTTAATAATGCTATGCAAAGAATAAAAAGTAACCCATGCTACCATATTTTTTCAGTCATTTATGTCATATTACTAGGTACATATACATTTTGGGGGAATACTTAGCTACTTACAGTGGGAGCTAGCTTTGCATGGCAGTTCTTGTAGTACCTACCTCCATTCTACTTGGAAAACTGTACCTCACACATATTTTTATTTAACTCTGTGTAAAATGACCCACTAGTAACTCAAAGGTTGGAGTAAAGGGGAGGGGAAATACTACCAGCTATTGTTGTATTTGATAAGAAAGAGCACACACTGATTAAATTTTATCAGTTCTATTGGTCTTTCTGGTGTGACTTGGTTTGATGTGACCTGACATAATAATGCACATGTCATGTGCTTTAAAAAGATCTATGGGGTAGCTTTTGTTTATAATATGCTTGCAAGTGCATTTCAGGGACACAGACATCTCTATTTATAAAATGCCCTACATTTAAAGGGAAGTAGTTCTACATGGTTTATTGTTTATTTTCACTAAGGAAAAAATTATTTTCAGAGCAGAAAATGTTACATTTTTTGAGAACGAACAAGAAAATGGAAGTATTCAGATGAAGTTGCATTGTACTGAAAGCCACTAAAGAAAAAAGGATGCTACTGAAATTCTGATTCACACTCAGTTCAACTTATTTACAGTTTTCAGCCTTTTATCCTGTAAGGACTATATTTTGAGCTCAACTGCTAATGCAAACCGTATCTTGCCTTGCAGCTATAAAACATGTGATACATGTGGACCTAAGCCTCTTAGGTGAGTTTTTAAATACTCTGGTTTCTAGGCAATTAAAAAAAGAATCTCCCAATGTCAGGAAAAGATTGATGCACTGTAGCTTTCTGCAGTGGGCAAAGCATAGCTGATGTGTTTGGCATCCCTTGGCCTGGAGAACACAGATTTCCACTGCCTGTTGTATCATGCAGAAGATTAAAAGGGGAGGTTAAATAGCAAAATTCAGTGCTCAGCAGCTGTTTCCAAGGTTGACATGATGCACTGCAACAGGCCTCAGTTTCTGTGACCAAGGCATTTGGCCTAGCACAGGGCAACAACTCACACAACTTCAGAGATCAAAGCTAAACAGTTCCACATTTTGGGGTCCTGCTAAAAAAATCTGCACTTCTGTATGACCTGCTAACAAAATTCAAGCCTCATGGCCTCTGTGAGGCAGCCCAACTCTAACCTTTAGCATTTCCTCTTGACAACCTGCCCTTGGCAACAGGGAAGACAAAATCAGTAACCATCAAGCAATCTCATCTTCCTCTGCAGTATGTGTATCTACTGGTTCACATTTTGGATTGCCACTACCTAGAAATTTTTCAAAAAGCCATAGTTATGTCTTAATTTTAGACACTTAGTATGCTTTTTCCTCATAATATTTTATTCAAATTGCTAATTAATTGAACCTGATAATATAAGTACATTTCTACATATAAATATGTTTACCATATCCAAGCTGACAGAAATGGTCAAATTCTCTTTTGTTGCTTGAGTGTAACCAAGAGAGGGGAGCGTATAGGCACAGATGAAAGGAAAAATATTCCCCTTTTAATATATAATATATACATAGACACACATATAGATTTATAATACGATAATATTATATTAATAGGTAGTATTAATTAATGTAAACACTGCGGAAGAAGGTTTTTTTTTGAGCTAGAACCTACAGACATACTGAAGTCAACAGAATTTGTGTGCAGGTCTCTTGCTGCACACAAATTCTTTCCCGACTTATTTATTATTAACTTTTTCCAGACTGAACTCTAACCAGTGGGACTTGGTTTTGTGCAGAGAATTTGGGTAGAGAACTATGAGATATCCAAAATACCTCTTTAATCTGCAAACACTGCCTTGGTCTATCAAAATGGAGATTGAAAAAATGGGGGTATAAAGCACTTCTGAACTCTGGGGAAATGTGGGTTGACTTCTATGCTCTTGTACAGCTTTGCTCTCCCTTGACTTTTGAATTACATCATCTTTTTGATGCTTTCTCTTTGGTGCTGGATACAATAAATGGCCTTTCCTACTCAGAGACTAACTATTGAAGACAGCTCCTAGAGCACAGACTGTTCTGAAACACAGCAAGCAGGACAATACCACTAATGAGAATAAAAAATCCTTAATGATGCTCATGGGTGCATCATGAATAAGAAAAAGCACTTTAGCGCACTGAAGAAATGACAGCACCATGCATGATGCCCAGACTCCTGGCGAGGATCACCCCTCATCACCTGACTGGCCCTTGAATAAAGCCCTTGAAGTCACATTATTCTAGAGCTGCTGTTTTGTCCCTTGTTATATTCTGCAACTGGAGTACTGTACTTAGCAAGAAGACCTTTTGAAAATGCACAAACTTACTTTTCTGGTGTGGAGCGTTGCCTCATACGATGTGGTGGTATTGGTGGTGGCACGTGGGGTGGCAAAGGGGATGAGACCTTAAAGGCATCGGAGCCACTGTCAGAAGCACTTTTGGACAGTGGTCTGTATGTCTGTGTCTTTGCAGCTGGGTGTGCCTGAGCAGAGAAGGATGGACTGTAGCTACCTAATATAAAACAAAACCAGAAACAGTCATAACATAAGATTAAGTCTTAAAAAAGCATAACATGGACTGCTACAAGAACCCACAGTAACTCCATAAAATGGCAAGATTACAAAAACGTGTAAATGAGTTTTAAAAGTACATTGCTGTGTATTGTGCAGCTCATTAGAGAGCTTCTTATATATTTTTACACAAAATTGCAAACACATAGGTAAAGTGCATTGCAGTTAAAATAAGTTAATTTGATGGAGAAGTTAATGGGTGTATACATCCATCACATCTGTTAATGACAGCCTGTAATTAATCTCCAGGCTCATCCTGTTGCTCAGTTGTTCCGAAGATAGAGAAGAGGCAGGAAACACACCTTTTCTGATTGTTTTAATAACTATTTGATTTGTGATGATGAGGCAATAGTGTATCTTGAGGATGATCACAAGAGTACAAAGAGATGTCAAACCACTGACCCACAACAAGTCATTTGAACAGCACAGAAAAAGGCATTATTCAAAGCATGTTTAATGCTACAAAAACTAAAATGAAAAAAAATTGAATGGCTGTTTTGCAGAAGGCACTATAGCCTTTTTGCACACAGTCTATTCATGCTTTCATTTTTGCTTGTTTTGGAAATAATTTTACCATATGGGTATAATCTTCTTAAGACACAATGATTATATATCTTAGATGAATATGTCTTTTCTTGTGGCTAAATAACGTCAACATGAATGCTTATAACAAAAATGGAAAAGTTTGTAAAAAAAATCAATTTTATTAGGCACTCTCGCTGCATATTTTTAAAGTGCATTCAGTAAATTATTTTTGTCTTTCCATGTTAGTAATTAGCATTTTCATTTTCACACAGTAGTTCCCTTTCCATTTCTATAAAGGAAAGGCTGCGTTACTAACAATCACTAGTGAAAATAAATGCAATGAAATCAAGAAACCACAGGGTATCCCTCTACAGCAAGAGGTCCACAGCTGCAATAATTTCTGTAGTAAGAATGAAATGAAAATTAAACTTGTTTCATGTGGGGGAAAAAGGCATGAACAACTGAGATCAAACGAGACACTAGGAAGTGTGTCTACAAGCATTGCAAAAGCGAGCGTGAAGAGTTAACTACACCATCACTTGCTGACATTAACAAAGCGTCGTTTTGAACACGGAGTAATTCCTACCAGTATTGTATGCATATGCAGTATTATACAAGTCTGTGTCGTCATCTACAAAAAGAAATACATATGTTACAGTAGGGCCATACATGCCAGTTCATCACAGAAACTGAGCTTTGTCTTTGCAAATACAAATAAAAGATTGGTAAGCAATCAAGCACTGTATTTCTTTTCCTTGTCTCATAGGTGCTTTTGGAAGACTATGTCTTCCCACTATATTTAGGCTGTTTTTACCATCTTATTGTGTTTTATCTTCTGATCATGTCACTCATATTGCATACTTACTAAGTTAGCATCAAACTGCAAATTACTGTCTGTTCTTTTCCCCTTCCCAAACTTGATTCCTTCCTTTTGTTAGCCTTCCTCTGCTACAGACTGTTAAGCTGTTGTTCCTATCACAAAAGGCAATCCTAAATATCTTCTGTGTGACTAGTGTTCAAGTTAGAGCCTGTAAGCCAACATTCTCCTGCCTACATTTCTTATTCTCCCACTAACATTCTGTGTGGCCATACTGAATGTTAGCTCTACCTCAGATGAATAGTGTCTCCTTCCTTCTGGAGGCATAATGAGCATAATTGCCATTTACAGAGTTTCCTGACATCCTTGGGGCAAATCATAAAGGACATTAAAGCTAGCAATGCCACCAAAGTTCAGTTTCAGCAAAACCAAGTAATATATTCTATGACAACAATTAAATTCAGGCACAAAATTTTTCCTTAAACCAGCCTGTTTACTAGCCCACGCTGTTCTAACACTGGAGTTCTCCAAAAGAAAGGCAGATGGTAGGAGATTTACAGTAGAAAATTTCTCATCCCTCGAACTGGACATGAGGAGACAAAGACAAGAACATACTCACCAGGCTTATGAACCATATGGATTTGCTTGAACATAGTCTTGTACCAATCCTTTGGCCTGTCAACTGTCTGAAAAAAACCAGTTTTAACAATTAACAACAAAATAAAAATACCCGTCTGTAGAGATCGGATCAGACATTTAACGTTATTCTGGAAAGAAATATTACATGTTATTCTCTATTTAATATAATAGTTTCTGTGTATTTTGAATGTATTTATGCATTTTATTGTGGAATTCCTGTAACAAATTCTGGAAGACACTGATGATTGAGTCAGTCTTGGACTCGGATCCTGGGAAGGTATAATGGTTCAGAACATCGGAATTATTGTGAGATCAACAGTTCATCACCTTAGTGCCTTGTATCTGACAATGATGAATGCTAGATTCTATACAGAAAAATAGAAACATCTCAGCAGTTATGATTACAAGCATGTAAGAAGTGCTTCTTTTGACCTCCTGGCAATTTCTGGCTTAAATTACTTTCTAAATGTAATTGTTAAATAATGCAGAAAATCTTTGTAATACTACTGAGAAAAGAACTAAGACCACACTATATTTCAGAGTTAATGTTTGGACTGCTAACAAAGAGTATTCTTTTCACCAGTTTTAAAAGCCCTTTCCAGACAACTTAATTTTAACTTATTCAATAATCACTCATTCAATTATACTTATCCTTACTTTTGCAAACTAAGTGATCCTAATCTCGAATTTCCCAAACTCTGCTCATATTGACTCCTACTTGTGCTTCTTTTTATCTGTTACCCTTCTGAATTTTCTCTTTTACTGCAATTTTCTTTCAGGTAGGATGATAATATTCCAGGAAAGGATTAACACAAAGGCAAACGTTTTCAGTATTATCCTTCTTAGGTGCTAGAATTTTACTTGTCCCACAGTAGCCATAAAAGCAGAAGTTTTAATGCAAAGAATCATGGAATCATAGAATGGGCTGGGTTGAAAGGGACTTTAAAGATCATCAAGTTCTAACATCCCTTGCACCGACAGGGACAATGTCCACTAGGCCAGGTTGCTTGGAACTCCATCCAGTGTGGCCTTGAGTACCTAAAGGGATGGGGCATCCACAAAAACCACTATGTTCAAACCTCATGGCACACAGGGAAAATTCAAAGAACCTCTCTTGAAGTGCATTATTTTGCACCAGCAAATACCAAATTTGCAATCACTTTGCTTCCTCCTCTTTACCACAAAAAGCAAAAATCTATGAATTCTTCCCTACAGAACACTGGACAGATGTGCATGTGTTCACCACACACTGCCATCTTTACTAAATCCCACCTTTGCCATGATTACTTGTTATCTCTACATAACTAATATGCTTTTACTATGAGCTCTTACTATGAGGGATTAGGCATTTCTGCCTAGTCCTGTATTTTGAGGACTCATATTGAGTTCTCATAAAATTGCTACTATTACTAGAACAATGTTTAAAATAAGAGCAGTCAGTTGAAGATCTTGGGGATCTCCTGGGTAAGAAAAAAATAAAGCAGAGTTTTGCTTTTTACCTAGGCCTGCCTTGCAAGACAGAGGTAAAGGAGGCTTAGTTTTGTCTCAAGATAAAATAGGTCCCTTCCCCCACCTACCAATGTGCTGAGTTCTGCCAAGTGTAAGCTATTCAGAAACAGATTTGGGTCATATTCATATTGTTTTCCTAAAGGTATTAAATATCTACACTAGTGGAACTCTGGTTAGAATAATTTAGCTGGACTTGAAACAAGTATGCTGTTTAGTGCTCCAGGATGATATATTCTCAGAAATTTACAATTCCAGGAGGTCTGAAGCAATTCACACTGATGGACATAACCTCCCTGCTTCTCCTCATTTCCCACAGCAACGGTCCCATGATATTGTGACTGCCTTTCTGATTGTAAACGAAGAAGAGTCTTCCAACCAGTGGCAGATGAACAAATCACAAATAATGCATGAATACTGCTGCCATGTCCCTGCTGTTTGTCAAGCATTGTCTGGTCCTCCACAAAGTCAAAGGAGGCTCCCACACAGAGATCAGGTATGGAGAAGCTTCCATGAGTAGAGAAGGTTTCCCAACATCCTTCTAGATATTTGAATGTTTCTTTCTCTCATCATCTTCCCAGCAAACCCTCCTAGGGGTTTCAGCCTCAGCCAGTAACTTGGCTTTATGTTATAAACCAGGATGGATTAAGAAATAGAATACATTAATTTTGAAATGCATTTTCTCAATTTATATTCACTAATCCCACACACCAAAATGGTTTGAGGAATTAAGAGTATTCACAATGCACAAAGCCATTCAGATGCCATCCTGCTTTGCATATATTACAGCTGATGCAATTAAATGTTGGAACACGGCATCATCCTATGTGAAAAAAACAATCAGCCAAGCAGCACGTAGAGGACATAAGAAGCAACTGCAATTGCTCCTTTGGAGAGTCCATAATCCCTGCAATATTGTAATCATCCATCAGGAAGTATGCAATTAAAGGAGGCCTCTCTGACCCTGAGATTAGCTCGGCTGGTGGGAACAGGGTGCTAATAATGCTTGCATCCCCATATGGGCTATTCACTTAAGAACTGGACTTGATGATCCTTGTGGATCTTCCAACTCAGAATATTCTGAGACTTTCAGTGGACCTCTGTTTTTTTGTGTTTTGTTTATTGTTTTTTTATGAGCTGAAATATTACATCACTAAGTATGGAAAAGAAACCTAGCAGGACTTGAATTGTTTTCACTCTTACTAAGTAGAGGCCTTTTCAGTCTACCAATTAATTTTGATAATTAGATATAAAGCAATCATTTTGGATGGACTAAAACAGTGCAGCCTTACTGCTTTCCATGAATCTGGCTTTTCCTTTCCCAGGTCCCCATCAGTGGTAAATTGTGCTATATTTGACTGAATGCTTTTCTGATTGAACAGCATTTTATCCTCTCTTTTTCAGAGACTTCATTTTTAGCGTCTTGGAATTTTACCATCTTTGGGGCAGGGCTTGGCACAAAGGCAGAACCTAACAACAATCTGAATTTTCAGACTTGCATTTCCCAGAGCTAGAAGGAGCTAAAGCGGCATAGAAGCCACATGTTAACATGGGATGGGGGTTCTGAGTGAATAAAAAGCTTTATAGGAGTCCTTCCCTTCTCAGAAGCCTGATACAAAATGGGTTAGCAGGAATAGGAAGAAAATCTTTCTGTTTTCCTTGGCTAAACAGCTGTTTCAAACCATGATCTAAGAGTGAAGACAGACTCGGAGGAGACGATCACATCTTGCAAAGCCTCTTTACTCTTAAGAAGCACTCAAAATCTGGAACACAGATACTCCTGAGTTCTTAATAAACTTTGAGCAGCACAGCATTTTGGAACACAGTGTGTTTTACCTATCACCCCCGAATCTTCATTTACTGCTTTTTTGATAGACTGTTGCCATTTTTGCAAAGAGGGAAGAGTGAAACTTCTAAACTTTATGTGCAATGATAAATTGAATTAATTTGTAAACTTCTCTCTTCAGATGGACTGAGGGCGAACCTTCTGGGAGAAGATTCCTATCTGGATTGCTCACTGACCTTGGAGAAAGGGCAGGTGATATACTCTACCTTCTACTATTAATGGAAAATGCAGTTTTAGCACTTTTGCAAGATGCAGCATATTTGAGTCTTGCTGACAACTATACCAACTTTGTTCTTGCTCAGCTGGGATACACAGGGCTCAAATATACTTGTGCACACTTATAAAGGAATCTCAAATAAGTATCTTGAAAACAATTTTACTACCAGCTATGTGTTAAGGAAGTAGAATAAGGATGCAAAATGACACATCAGATACACTCATACATACACACGCTAGCATAAAGTTTTAATTTCTATCTGATTGTGAGAATTGTTTCTATAATAGCAAGATTACAGGCTATAAGATTTCTTGAAATTGAAACACACCAAAAATCAAAGCAAAACCAGCAGGAAAATGTCCTAATTCAAACTGAATTATATTTTTAGGAGAAAATCTGAAAGACTCAGATTATACAACCTGAAAGTTAAATATAGTTTGGCAGATTGCCAGCTTCATTAGGCACACTTAAGGGGGATTTCTGTTATAATCTTATATAACTGATATGCACCCTATTAGAACAATCTGCTACTAAAAAAGCACAAAACCAATTACCATATCCAATATAAAGCAAAGGCACTATTTACTTAAAAAGAGAACAGAAAGCTAGAGCATTGCTGGAAAGAAATGTCTTCATTTTTAAAAGATTCTGATCATGTAACTTTTTAATGTCATAAATAAAGCAAGAAATGTCAGAGTTCCCCCCCATTCCTATAAAAATTTTCCTCATCTTACCACTTATCCTGATTTTTTCCTATTGATTTTCTCCATTAATTTCTGGTTTCCCCTCTAATTTTTCAGTCCCTTGAAGCAATTCTTGGCAATACAACATAGCCCCCCATATGTCCATATTGGCAGACAGGATACATCCAACAGCTGCTACATCCCTGCACCTCCCTAAGACTTCACCTGCAAGGGCTCTGCCGCTTTCATCCTGGCTGCCACTCTTCTCCCTTTGTCCGTGCAGCACAGCAGTTCCTCTCTGCCTGGGGAGGCCAGCAAGTGCTGCCTTTACAGAGCCAGTGCAGCTGCCTCTGCGCTCTCTGGAGCAGCCAGAAGAGGCTGCCCTGACAGCAGAGTGGAAAGAATGCTGCAGCATAGTGAAAACAAAACTCTTCAGTCTGACATCCTGGGACCACTCAAGCAGTGACCAGCGGCAGATGATCAGAACGGGGCTGCTCACAATGAAAGGGCTGCCCAGCTATTCGCTTACGTGTCACTCAAGGGCACAAGGATTATTTAATTCACTGTCACGAAAATGCTGCTCCCTTAGATTGTCAGCAGAACAAAACTGCACATTTCTACACTAACCTGATGACATGAGAACACTGCCCCAAAAAATGCAGAGGTGTAAGATTTTTGCATATACACACAGATGTACATATGATTATTTGCACACACATACATATTTACATATATATATATAGTATGCATAAGCTTTATTTCAGAAATAAACCAAATGCAATTACTGTGCATCTCCAAAAGGCAAGAACTACAAGAGACAGAAGAAAGACACAAAATTTTGGCTACTTCTAATTAAAACTAGAAACATGAGGTTGCCCAATTATGCTCCCATCAGCATTCTCCTTTTCGTCAACACACAATATTATATTCACAAGGCTGCTGATTACACACGCTCTATTCCAAATTATATAAGAGTAGAAGAATGTGAAAAACCCATTACCAACAATCAGTTCATTGTATGAGTTCATACACAGATTTCCCAGAATTTCCTACCGTTCTAATTGCTGTAGGGATTCCAGATTCATCTACCGGGCCAATCCCTGCATAATGTGGAGCTTTAATTACTGTGATTTTTTTTTCTTCTTCTGAGGATCTACAGATTGGTATTGTACTGGTGGTGGTGGTGGTGCCAACATTCTGAACATGCTGTGAGTATGTCTCTGTGGACTCTGTAAAGATAACATGACAGAAAATTGTGTAATGACAGAATAATCATACTTGGCAGTTAAAATATACTTTCCCATTTCAGTACACTGTACAAAGGCTGACAATCTTAATTGCATACATATACATTTTTTAAAAAGAAATATCATCTTTACTTGTAGGGGGATATCATCTTTACTTTAAGTAGGGATTTGCCCTACTTAATGTTACATTAACAGAATTATCAACTTATTTAAGGACCAGACAAACTATTAAACTCAGAATTAGAGTAGAAGTACTTTTTCACAATGTCTTGCTCAATAAAAAGAGAAAAAAGCCCCATAAACATAGCAAAATCTGTTGAGAAAGGTGCAGTAGCCTTTCTCCTATAAATCAAACTTTTGCACCTTTTCTACCTGTTCATTGGAAACCAGTGACATAATTTCAAAACTTCCACCCACCAAGCCCAGCAAACTATAGAAAATTGCTGTTCTCTAAGCACAGAAGACAGCCTTGCACAAAAACTTATGTCATACATGCTAAGAAACATGAAGTTTTGATGCATGAATATTTTTAAGAAAAAAATCCTGACATAAGTGTTCTTCCTTAACGTGTGTTGATATGTTTATGGGACTCTACGTATAATCCATAAAAATGGTTTTTGGTAACCCAGCACCTGTAGAGCAATCTGATAATCCACCTACAGTAATTCAGGTGAAGTGTTCAATCTGCTACTGTTTTATAGTGACCTGCAGTATTTCTACCCTTCCCCTTCAAATCTTCCTTTATAACTAATTAAATTAATGTATCACTATTACCATTTCCTTCTAAAATGCAGAACAAAACTTAAGAAACACCTCAGTGCTGGGATGTGACATGAAAATTTGTACTTTTGCAGACAATACACTCTTTCCTGTGTACAGGAAAAAGAGCCCTACTCCTTCAGGCAGCAGGTTTCAGTAAATTAGTGGGCTGCTATTACAAAGCCTCTATTTTGCAAATTGAGGTAAAGTGAGATGGTTCCACTGCAGAATAAATGAATGCAGGGAGTAAAAATGTATGTTCTAACACTAATGGTGACAATAAAAATTGACTTTCATGTGGCATTAATATCCACTGATTATTCTGAAGAAAAATATGAGTTGTAATATGAGCCTCAGTGACTCCTCAGTAAAAGGAGCTCCAGTGACTGAAAGCTCTAATTTTAATTTGTATATTTCTGCTCACTCCCATTGCAGTGCTGGATTTGGCATGGCTGTTTCAGCTGTTTACTCAAGTCTGAAATCCTGTAAATAATTCAGTGCTACACATATATGGCGAGGGGCAACTCTGTGTGGCAAACGTCTGAATATTTGGAGCTTTTTCCCAAAATGCATGATGTTAAATTTAGAAAACATTTTGGATTTGATCCTTCGTTCTTAATAGGCCTCAAACTGAGGCCACCAGGGGTTTTTTTACATGAGCAAGGAGAATTAAATCAGGCTCTTACTGTGGAACACTGAACTCTAGCATCATGCAAGAGTGAAAGTCTTGGGAAAATACGTATTTCAAGTATATCCAAACTAGTACTGATAGATCTTTAAATGAGTAAACTGGAAGCACTCAAAAACTCTAGAATTCTGGGATTTGGAGTAACCCATGTATACAGTTTTTGTACTTATCACTATGATGACAGCAGCATTTGTCTAAGATGTCTCAGAGCAAGAACTGTCACCTAATTTCTCTGCAAGCACAAAAAAAAAATGTAAACTGTGGGACCACATTCAAGTTATTTGGCATGTATAATCTTTTCTAAATATGCACAACACTGGCAGAAAAAGCAAGTAAATTATTCTCTTGGCAAAATGGGATAAGACTGGCAAAGAGCCCAAGGCTGATAGTACTTGGGGTTTGTGTTTAATTTTTAAATTAAAGATGCTCTAAAAAATACATGAACAAGTTTGAGATTGATGTGGCTTTAGGTTTTTAACAGCTCAGAGCCTCTCCCTTTGTTGACAGTATTTCTGCTGAAGAATTAAGGAAGTTGTAGGGAGGAGCAAAGTACAAAGTGGGCCTTCACTTTCTTATGGCAAAATGTGAAAGGGCTGGACAGGTTGAGTGATTTTGATAGATGCCCTTTCCTTGGTAAAGCCAGTAGAAAATTGGCAAGAGGTTAGCTCACACACCTAGGTTATAAAACTTACCAGTAACTCCAGTTGAGGATCACTGCTGTACCTAACAATAAATGCTATTATGTTTTTGCATTTACTTCCCAAGGTACATGAATAGACAATACCTTCATTAGGGACCTGAAGCACTCTGCAATTGTTTGCAGCCTTTACCACATGAATCAGAATACATTGTGCAATGTATAAAGCAAACATTCTGTGTGAGGCTTACCCATCATCCTGCCATGCTGCATGATAACAATGTTGGAATTGAGTGAAGCTGGTGGAGGGTAAGCTGAAGAAGGGGAAAAAGGCCTTTGAAAGTGACTCACTGGGCTGGCAGCAGTGCCAGAATTCCCATTCACTGTGATCTGAGCCTGAGAGAGACAAAACAATATCCCATTAAAATACACACAAAGCTCCCCAACTGCAATCCCAAAGAAAGAGTGATGCAAGACTGTCATCCACGCAACAATTCCCAGTTGTCAGGTACACAGCCATAATGGCATCTGCATTCACTGAAACACAAAGCTTATCACAAAGGGAGCAGAGTGTGGCCCTTATATACCTTGTACCTCCCCTCTTCCTCCTTGTGTGTGCTGGCTGTGACGCATGCTGTCTTGGGAAGGTGGCAGAGATCACGGTCAAGGCAATGAAGATGGCACAAATGAGGTTTGCAGATGTCTGACAGCAATATAAAATGAAGATGGCAGTAAAAGCTCCCAACACTGTGTGACAGAGGCTGTCTGCCACAGATCCCTCACACCAAGAGACACATTCCCTTAGTGCACATACTCAAGCACTATGGATATTAATGGGAACTTCTGTGCAGACTGAAGGGAAAAGTCTCACTAAGACTAGCTGAGAAGAGTGAAAAAAATTTCTTTAAAAAATGGAAGCCAGCTGGAGTGACTGTGGCATAATGATATGTAATCTATCAGAATAAAAATAAATAGCACCAATTAAAAAAACAACAACCCACAATCACAAAATGACAGAGCAAAATCAAAATCAAAAGTGAGAGAGCTAAGTAAACTGGAAAAAGCAGAAAGCACCTAAAGCCATTTAGGCTTTAGTTACTAGAGGCACTTCACAAGAGGAAACTACCTGCCCCCAGGTTTAGAATCAGTGCACTGGGGCTGCATCACTTTTACAGGGAGTATTGAAAGAATCAAAACTGAGATGCTGAGAAAGCATTGAATGAAGTAAGAAGGTAGCGAATATTTCAGCAGAAAAGCAAGCAAAGGTCTCTGCAACATCTCCTTTAATGCAGAACTGTTCTTTAAATCTGAATTAGAAGAACTACAAAATTGGCTCAATTTTATATAACAAATGAACTAAAACAGCTGCAGATGTAAACAAGAGACTACCTGAAGCAGCAAAGTATAAATAAAAAACATATTAAAATGCATATTATTTTTACAAATAAAAACTAAATTATTCATGACCTTCTGTATGCATTTGTATTTCGGAGATTACTGAATTGATTTGAAATTTTTAACATCTTGGCCTCCCATAGCTAAGGGAGAAAAACCATTTCTGGGTCCTATGCAGACATTATGTGAACTCCTATATGCATTCAGGGGTTTGTCATTTTAAGGATGTCTGTTTTCAGAAATGAGCTGAAAAGGTTCTGTCGTGGTGATGTCTCCATTGAAAGTTTTGTGTGTAAATGTCTCCTCTCTTAATAAACTACAGAATCGAAAGTAAGATTCTTGGCTTTTCCTCCATCACCCTCTCCTGCAAAAAAAACCCAGCTTTGGAGATGTAAGAACAGAAAAGTGACATAACTCAAAGACAGCATTTCAATGAAGGCATGTTTTCAGATAAGTTTTCAAACTGAGGCCAGCTATCTCTCCTCTGCTTCAGGTGTTCACCCATTCTCTTCTCCTACATATCTTTGGGAAAGCTTGTCTCTAGGGAAGGCAGGGTGCAACTACGTGCAGAGCCTTACACTTTCTTACTTATTTACTATGGCTTTTGCTTCTCTGAGCAGAACTGGCGTGAGTTCTTCACAGACTCCTATGAATTTTTGTAATAAAAGACTGAGATGTTCCAGAGAAGGACTTTACCAAATAGCTCAGTTAGACAGCAAGGCATTTACACTTAAGTAGTACAAAATATCATGAAAACAGCACCCGCACAAGTAGTTGAAGGACATCAGTCATAAATGTGTACGTGGCATGTTCATGACATTTCTGGGTTTGTTTCTGAAGGTCTTAGGTAAGATCTCAGCTCAGTTATAATTTTTTAGTTTCTAATGATTTTCTCCTTGAGGAAAATGTCTGTGAAGGTGGCTTTTTCATTTGTTCATCTGCTGCATCTAAGATGGCTTACAAGGTTAGCTATAGAAGACAGTTCAACAAAATTTCAAAGGCCTTTTCTTCCCTTGGAATAATTTGGTAGTTACTGACATTTTAATCTGAGAATGTGACACTTTAGGTCCAGGTGACAGAGTTTATTCCCAGATTTTACAAGGAAGTAAAATCCTTTTAGATGTTTTTTCATTTCATGGATGCATTTTTAGCCATCTGGCCTTTCTCTACAGAGAGTGGGAGATGATGACTTTTCTATACGGCAGAGTTGGGTTTTGCCAGCAGTTTAATTTCTGTGGGGTTCTTAGGACTACTTGGGGATTTTTGCTCTTTGGGTGAATGTCTTTTCATTTGGCTTTGTCCATTAACAGTGAACAAACATTATGCTCATCCCTGCCATGTCTAAAAGAGAAAGTGATGGTCCGATCTGACCATTACATAGCCTTCTACTGGGAGAATAACCCAAAAAGAGATAGAAGGACCAACTGCTCAATTTATCTTGCAAAAAATGATGCTCAAACAAAACAAATACAATTAGCTGACAATTTTAGAAGTAGGCTACAAGAAAATATAAACATTCCATGCTTCCCATAGCTAGTAAATGGTCATGTGGTGACTCTGTCTGACCAGTCTATACTTATTATGGTATATTTGGCTACAATGACTGTGTTTTATGCAAATTCATAGTAATGATTCTTAAAAAAACCCAGTGTTTTCAGAGCTGTGTTACAGAAGTTAAGAATTAAAGTTTTTACATGACTGCTATTAGTATTTTTTAGCAGCATCCAGAGCAATGACAACCAAACATTGGCTTTCCAGTTGACTATGTGCAAGGTTGGACTCAAAATACTCTTTAAAAATTATACACAAAGCTTAAAAAATATATATACTGTTTGTTCTTTTCAGGCTTGAAAATTACTGTATGCTGAAGTATTTATACAAAGTTTGAACAGTGCTGTGACCCAGTAAAACTTTGGATTCAGAACATCTCTCTGTTTTGCAATTCAGCAATGAATTGCTCAATTTAAATGAAGGCTTTGTTCTGACTCATTTTAATCATGTGGATAATCTCAAAAGAAATCAAAAGTGATTTGGGTTTGACCCAAATTCCATACCTTCTTTCTCCCCATATATGAGTATAATAAGGTACAGAAAATTGAATGTATGTGTAAAGTGTCTAACTGCATACTGGTTTTTCCCTTGACTTAACCAAGAGAAAAGTAACAGTACACTTGAATAGTTCAAGATTATTTATGTAGTTCAGTCCTATAAGAAACTGTGCTTAGGAAAGGAAAAGGTTAATTAGAGGAGAGAAAACCAGTTTTGTGCAGTCATCACGGCTGGGGAAAAAACTGCATTAAATACTGTGAACATTTAATATGAATTTACAAATAACATTATTGAAGTCTGTATCTCAGTGTAAGTCAAAATGGTGGTAGTCCTGACTTCAAAAACCTGTAAATTGTTAACAATATTTTAAACAATTTTCTTCAAACTCCATGGAATGTTTGCTTTTAATACTTTGGAACAAGTATTTCTTGAATTTATTTTCTTTTAAGCAAAGCGTTTGATACACCTTAGCTGACCACACAACTGTGCAGCAATCATTTCGTACTCCCAAATCTGGTATGCCAATGATTTTTTTTTTAACAACTGTTACAAAACACTGTCGGACTGTGACCATGGAAAATTACTACCGAAATACTTGTCTGTGTAATGGGATAACAGACAAGGTCGAACTCTGTTCCCCTCTGACAACCTGTTTGAACAAAATGGAGGAGGAAAAAAGGAAGCATAATTACATGAGAGGTGGCAGCAGTGTTGGTTAAGGTGGTGCCATCTGACACAGCAGACATCTGGCTCAGGGTTGGGGAAGGTGTTTCAGAGCAGTCAGTGGTATCATAGCTACAAGTCTGCAGCTCATCTAGGATGGCAGTGGAGCACTCGCTCAGCGTGCGCGAGGAGCACTCGCTCATGGCAGAGTCTGTGCTCACAGAGGCTGCTTCGCTCCTGTTCCTGGGGGCAGCACTGGCAGCAGCCAGGAACGGGCATTTGTAGGGACACTGGGACAGGGCTGGGCTCTGACCAAAGAGGGAAGGCAAAAAATCATCAAGCGTTGGCAAGGAATATGGTACTGGGTGGGTGCCACTGTCTGGTGAGAAAGAGGCTCTGTTAACTGGTACCACAGGAGAAGGAAGAGGCAGTGGAGAAGCTTCTGTTGCTGTTTGTCTGTGTGTCTGTGAAGCATTTACCTCCATCACAGGGGCAGTTACTTTCTGGTTTCCAAGCTGAGATTTGAGGGAAAAAAAATAAGAAAAGAAACAGATTACTTAATGAATAAAGAACTTTTCCCTTTGCCTCTTGCTGGGTGTAGGGGGATTACAGAAGTGTAAGGTTTTCAGCCACCCAAGGAAGTTCACATTTACAAAGATTAGGAAATAAATCAACCATGCTCTATATTAGAGTAGGACAACATGAAAGAAATGAATGCATAAAATACTAGTGGAAGCAATGCCAGAAACCATAGTGTGCTGAGGATGAATATTCATAATGTACTGCAATATTAATGATCTCCATTGTGCATTGAGGGGTCACACTATTTTATTCTTCACATATATAAGAGGCTAGAGAATGTCATGTCTATGTAGTTTTCAAAGTAAAAATGTATCTGCAAGTCTGATTGCGGTAAATGTTACACTTATTTTGTCAAGGATAGGTATGATTTTGAAATTAACTGTAATATAAAGATGAGCAGGACTGCCAGATATACAGGAACACACTTAATGACTATTCATATGATCTGCAAGTAATAGGTAGTAGAATTTTTTGCCTCTTGTGACTGAATACATCATCTCCACTGCCGCTCTAATAAAAATATTTGGATGATCTTAGAATTTCCAAGCACCCTGGAAGCACCCTGTCACAACCTACTCTATAAGGTGTATGCATAGAAGTCTTTTCAACATTAGAGGACATAAGGATTATTAGGGTAACTGGTATAAATCAGGGGAACAAAGACTGGAAACACAAGAACAGGACATACTGAAACAAAACATGCCAGTTTGGATTCAGCACAGTTCCTTAAAAGCAGAAGGGAACAGTCTCATGAGAGTGCTTCTGAAAACTGCCACACAATGTATGAGCTTTATGTTCTGTCATTTCAAATCAGTCACAGGGCACTCAGTTTAAACCAGCCCTGCAACTGGCTTTTTGCATCTGCAACTTCTTTTTGAACTAAAGCATGTTGGCATCTAGTATTTGTTAAACAGCTACACAAATCCTTCTATACTGCCTATTAAACCACAAGCTTTCCATTAATTCCTAAGTATTCAAAATGCTGCCTACTTCAGCACTAAGGGTTTCACTGTTGATAGGGCTGAGTACATCTGGAATAGCTACTGGGAAAGAGTGTTTGGGATTTTAAATTTATGCAAAACAGAGGACAGTAAGACACTATATGTAGTAAATACCACTATAAAAAGAAACATTCAGTCATCCATATCACCTTGTTATCAGTAATATGGATATTTCCTATGCTTAGACTAGGCAGACGTCTTTAATCATTCAAAAATGTTTCAAGCCATCAGATTAAAATGCCATTTTGGCATTTTAATCCAAAATCTGAAAATATCTTCTAAAGCCCTTATGGAAGACTTGGAACACAACCCAGATTATGCTACTTACAAGAGGTCACTGGGGTTCCAGTTGCATAATTCTTGTTGAGATCAACTAGAATTTACACAAATAACCTTACTGAGGTCAATGGGACCATCCCTATGAATAAGAGTTACAGAAAAGAATCTTAAGTATGTGAACAGATATTTATTACTTGTTCCAATTGATTAAAAATAAATCTTTGGCATCATTGGATCTCTAGGGTACACAACAATAGGCAAAAGCTGCTGTTAAAATCTACAGTCAAAACAGTGAAGAAACTTAGTCAAACACTTTAAAATCCAAATCTTATTCACATCAATGTTTCAAATCTACAATTGAACACCCCCCAACTTAATCTTTTCATAGAGGAGATGTGGACAGATTACCTCTTAATTAAAATAATCAATAACTGAGTGTACGACTGTAAAAGGACACAGTATTTTCATAGAGAACTAATTTGCCAATGGAAACTTCAAAAGAACAATGGAATACTATTAAAAATAATGTCATGAAAAATTAGGATGATTATACAGCATAATATGTTTAGGATGCTAGCATTTACATACACATATAAGAAACTGTAATTTCACTACACAGGTACATAAAGGGGAGACAGAATCATCATTCATGATGATTTTCATCATCTATGTCATCAGATCATCATATCAAGATCTCCAGCAAAAGACAAAAACCAGGAGATCATGCTGTAATTATGAGGCAGGGCCAAAAAGAAGCTTTGACTTTCTTGAGACCTCTCAGCACCCCCAGAAGAAAAGTTACATATGACTCAGCCAAAATGTGTAAATTAATCTCTATTTGTTAAAATAACAGGAAATCTTGGGGAGTTATGAAATCTAGTAAACCTTCTGGCTCTGAACTGAGGAGATTTCTTGCATTCTTGAGAAAAGAAGGGATTGACAACACAAGGACAGATATTCAGGGTGCATCCAGAGAGCTAATGAAACTGAGATTTAAAAGAATTTAATTCATTGTGATTGACAAATAATAGCTGATTTCATCAAGCCAAGTTATTAAAAAGAATAAAAGTTGTTCTTACAATGCAGACAGAAGGAATACAGCAATTCTAGGGGCTGATTCCCAACATGAAGCTTCTTGGCTTTATAGAGGAGAACTTCTATTCTGCCTGGCTCTAGAATACTTTCATATATATAATCATCTCTCTGGGAAAGAGTGGCTGAAATTGTGATTTAAAACAGCCTTGTTTTTGAAAACTGATTTACATCACTTATAAAAACATGGAATGTTGGTAATCTCAAACACATACAACTGGCTACTACTGATCCACATTTTTCACTGTGCATGCCATCTCAGCTATGAATCATATTTTCTTATATTTTTCACTGTGAAAAATATGAGAAAGACAAGGCTGAAGGCATTTCAGAAAACTTTTAATACTGGTTCCATTCAGCATGCTTCAGATTAGGTTGTTATTGATATAGCAGCAGAAATGCTAGCAGAAGTCAGGCAGATTAAATGCCCAACAAATACTTAATTGATTAAAATGATGAAAAACAGACTGTGGCTGTCTTGGGTTGTAGAGCAACACTTGAGAGACAGATAAATATCATCAGTCTTGATGTGAATTGAAGGTCTGAAGAGCAGCCTTTGCTGCAGCCATCTGCTGGTCCTTTGAAATGCTTCTTTTCCATCAAATAGGAAAATGTCAGGCCTGAAGAATACAGCTGGTATCCAATTCATTTAAAGTAAACAGGTGACCCCAGTATGGGTCTCAAAATCAGTCATCTCTTGTTTTAATGCAAGGTATGTGGGGAGTGGTGTGAGATTAATGACACCGGAGTCCTGGCCTTGCTTCAACAGTCAAGACACAGATAAGGAGACTCAGAGATAAGTGAATAAATTCATTGTGTTAATACATAGCAGAGTTTAGTAATCAACAATCAAATTACACCCATACATTTGCGTAAATGGGTAAAAATACCTCTATTTTTAATTATCAAAAGCTGATTTCAAACTAATGCTGAAAATTATATTCCAATGCTCATTTTTCTGCCTAGCCCTCTTATTCTAAACTCAGTATAAGGAGATTTAGTTCAGCCCTTGTTTAAAGCAATACTAATGATGCAGAACCTAAAGTGAAAAATACATGCTCAATTTTCTTTGCTTCACATCTGTCCCCAGAATGCTGAAACCAGTTTTCTCTTTCTTCCATATCACTAAGCATATTGCCAATACCTAAAACTCAGAAATGTACTGGATGAATTGATTTAGATTTTTCTAAAAATTCTGTTTATTTTCCTTGATGCACATTTCTACAGCTATAAGGCTGTCAAAAGAAACACTTTCATAAACATCTGCTACAGATGTTTTACTCCTCCAGGACATCAGGAATAAACCAAGTGTTGAACTCATCTGGGGAATTCAAATAACAAAAAAAATGCTTTGCAACCTTAGTTTCAGAGAGTGATATCTAGAACACCATGACACTTAGGAACCCAAGAACAAAGCAATAAAAAAAATAAAATAAAATCAGGTGATTATTTCTGAAGATGCAGTTCAGAATTCTTCATCAGTTTATAACTTCTTCTTATAAGGAACTTACACAATAAAAGTTATCTCTACTGGTTTCATACTAGCAAATACAAATTTCTCTGTTGAGATAGATACAGTTATTGCTCCTGTATCTGCAGCATGGTACAAAGAAGCAGCATCTCTTGAGACTGTAATAATGTAACAATATTGAGTAACCTGAATGCTTCTATTTTCATATATACTTTTAAGGGGTTTAACCTTTCTCTGAGTAGGAGTCTTTACAAAATGTCACTCAGTGAGTCATAGCACACTTCTGCTTGCTCCTAAAGCTTCAACAGATAAGCAAATATCAGTGAAATTCAGCGCAAATAGGAGCACAAACAGCAAGATACATTAACCTGGACCACACAAGCTCCCTCTGGGCTCTATATTTCCATACTTTGTGACAAAATACATTTGTACATCTTGGCTAGATACAGATAACCCACGTGCACAGTATTTGTTCTTTACTACCTCTTAAGAAGAGATAATTACCTGATCTTACCTCATTCTCCTTCACATACATAAACCCATATGCAGAGGGAGAGTTGCACCTTTCTAAGTGTATTTGTTTTTTGAGAGTTTCTCTGGCAGCTTTAAACACTGCTGGCAGGCCTAATCTACAGCCTGAGAGCATCCTCTGAGGACACAGCTTGACATACAACCTATAAGCTGCAGGTAAAAAAGTATTTTAACTCCTACACAAAGTCCTGTAGAGCCTGCAGATCTAAAATAATTTAAAAAAAATGAAAATACTATCCTGCATGAAAGTTAATTTTCTATGTTAGAGAAATTGTGACCTTTGCAAATACTATGACATATAGCACTAAAGGGATCTTAATATTTGGCATTAGCTAGAACAGTTTCAAGGTTTTAAACTGAGATCTGAGTCAGGAAATAAATATTTTTTAAACATATTGCTGCAGCCTTTACTTCTAATCTTAGTTCACGGCATCTTCATTTTGGGAACTCACCTGATGCAGATTTTTACACCATCTCACATGCTGATTGTATTCTAGTTTTAGTATGTATTTTAATAAGGAGCTACAAAAACCCACTGGCTCCACCACTCAATTGTGATACCAAATACATTCCCCTTCATTAGAGTTTATTTCAAAACTGAACACCACAGAAAATGTCAGCTGCATTTTGCAGATAACAGATCCATAAAGGGATACAGCTTCAAAATATGGCTTAATGATCTCTGTGATCAAGTGAAATTTTTCTCCTTTTATTCAGAGCAACCCAGTCACCAAATTTCTGATAGTGCTTCCCCCATCCTGAAATCAAGGAGAAAACAGAAAACTAACTGCAGAATTGCCAAATAAGCCACAGATACTTTTCTGATTTTTTCAGCTTGAAGTGAAACTAAACAAGATTCTAAATTAATGTGATTCTAAATTAATGCAAAATGTGTTTTGACTTCTAAAATTCTAAAATGGCAGCTAGAAGATGAATTCTTTTTAGTTTTTTTGATTCAACTTTGAGTATTATTCTTAATCATAAAAAGGTATTTCCCCTAATCCTTATTAGCTATCATACTTTCTGTTTGAGAGATTGATCTGCCCATATATAATGCATCATATTCTAAGAGGCTGAGCAACTATTTTTAGGTGAAAAGATAACCGATGCAAAAGTTGAATTGGCCACACCTACACCTATTCTGCTGTTTGACAGTATCCTTTGATGCCCATATTTAAAAGACTTGCAATATCTTCGTATCTACCCTATCTACCAGAAGAAACTGTGGCTCAGCTTTCCTTATTGTTTCTGACATGGATTCTTTACTGTGGTGCTTGCTTGAACTGACTTGTCTTACCTGACAAAAATCACTGAATAGCAGACTGATTCTTCTAAGTGGGTAAACCAACTTGTTTTTCTCAAAATGTTCTAAATTTTATGCTGTCTAAAAGAAGGATTTAAGATGACAGATTTGTGTCTAGTCTTGAGGAGGAAAAATGTGGTTAATGCTTCTGTGCTCCTATTTTTCAATGGAGAGAATTCAAAAGGAGCATTGCAGATTGTTGCCATATAATTTACCAGAGCTCTGTTCTGATCAAAAATTTTACTTGGCATTTGAGGGGGGACACAGACATATCACAACCTTAAAACTACCCTGTTTTTAATGCAGATACTTATGTCTTCCAGAGTAGAAACCTGGTTAAAGGTGATGCTCGGAAAGAACCTCAGTCTGGAAAAGCAGAGATGTTACTACTATTGACAACAGGGCTGTAAATGGACTTTTTAATTTACAAGATAGTGCTGTATTTACTTCAGAGTAGCCTCAATGATTCCAGCAGAACTAGATGAACACAAATATGCCATGATGGGATTTTCCCTCAGAGAAAGCTTTGAGGCAGACATGCCTAGACCTACAGCAATCTGGACATCCACTTCAAACACAGATAAGCTGTTATACTGGTAGATATACTGGAATAATTATCTTTTTAAATAGAAAAATCCTAATGTGGCTAGGTAACGCAGAGCAGAAATTACAAAGCCAAGTATGTATTCACTGCTGCTTTCTTGTGCCCAGGCTTATTTTATTTGACTTAGGGAGTTTCTGAATGGTGGCAAACCCTGCTCAGACTCCTCTGGTCCTATGCTGATACTCCAATTTCTCCTAGCTGAGATCAGCATAGTTAAAGAATTTTCATTTCAGTAGGTGTAAGGTATAGAGGAAACAGATGGACCTAGAAGTTCAGTGCCCTGTGATATTTCATGTGGAGGTTGTTGACAAAGAATTTACAGACCCATTTTCTTTAAAACGCTCTGTTGCACAGGACACATAGGAGATGCCAGTGCCCAGCCTTGCAGAAAGCACTGACTGACAAAATGTACTTTTTGTGGCCCTAGAAAACGGACAGAGCTGCATTTAACTCCCCCCAATCCAACCCTACTATCCATACTTGATCCTTCCAGCATCTATGGCAGCATAACTCTCTAATGCAATCCTTTCTAGGAAGAGCCACTTGAGCTAATTAGTACACTAATTTCCTATGTTGCGTTTGCACTCTATAAAGTGATCACAGAGGAACAAAGAAGTCTGCCTTCCATCTCAGCTAAGTAATTTTTTTCCCCAATAACCTTCCAAAACCTTCCGTTTTTGTTCATTTCTGTTTTGGTCCATGTGACAGGTAGTTTTACCCAGAAAACACAAGATCTAACTTTGGTAATGTAAGTATAACTAAACAGATGGTTATTAAGTGATTCATGAAGATCTAAAATAAAAGATGGAAAAATTAAATATACCACATGGCATTCTGCAGCCTGTGAAGAAGGAAGAACTGTAGACTTTTGTCCCAAATCCTTTGAAGACATCTTTGAAGTGTCTGGAGAAATACTAGGTGGATGATCTTGGATTTCAGGCTCTGCTTTATTGTCAGGGGTGGGAACTATCTGAACGGAAAGAGATGCTGTGTGTATCTCAGGCATGGGGTTACAGGCAGGTGAGACAGGCCTCTGTGACAACACTGGCTCTTCACCAGGCTTGGGCTGTTGCTGGGAATGACAAGGAATGCCACTCGCTGGCTCACGGGTCCGGGTTAATTTCAGGGTGGATATTTTACGTTTTTGAGACTGCTGCCTCTGGCCTTGATGGAGAGTGGTGCTAATGCCAGCTCCCGTGCCTGTGTCTGCACTGGAGACTGAGGGCAGGGGTTTAATGATTTTCTGTGCATAGGACACACTTGTGTTAGATACTTGAGAAGACATTGTCTCCTGCACAAACGTCTCACTAGTGAAATAGGCAGTATCTGAGAGGAGGTGTTTAGCTGGGCCAGCAGTTCCTGCCTGGAGATTAATCTCGTTCTCGGGATTAGTTACTCTTGCTTTCCGAAAGCTTTCTTTTCTAGGAGGTGGCAGAGGTGCCTTATTTGCCAAAAGCATCCACACACAGCAAAATAACATTGAAGAAGAAACAGAAAGAAAGTAAATGTTAGTAGGAGATACAGTTCAGTTTTACTTTTATATTTAAACAAAGGAACTAGCAAATTAAAAGGCTCCATCTCAACATTGCTAAAGTCAATGACCAACTAAATTGGTCAGGTTCCCACCACCATTTCCTGTGCAACTTCTGTTTAAAAAGCCACATGTTCCATTTGCTCAGACCAAAGTGGGATGAGAAAGGATCAGAAGGAAGCCCACAGTCATTCATTTTCTTTTAAAAAACCAATTATTACACTGAAAAAGAATTATTGCTGTGAAAGCATTCAGGTATGTAAGTACTCCATGATCTTAGATAGAAAGCAATTATTCACAGGTAACACACATATATAAAACACAGAGCCTCTTAGTCTTTTGAATCAAAATAGTATCAGAGAGAGTATTAAAATTGGTATGTTGAATTTTTTTTTGACAGATTAAGATGTTTCTAAGTGTGGAGGCGGTATTTTGTTTATGTTGTGTGTTTTTTTGCTTGGTTTTCTTTTTTTGTTTCTGTTTTTAGTATGCTCTAATGACATTGTTCTGCAAAACAGGCAGAAGCATTTTCTACCATATAATTAATACATCTTAATCCTCAGGTATTTTGATGACCGGTGCATTTTTCCAAGTGTAAACTGTTAATAAATATTCTTTGAAGTCTGGGAACACTCCTAGAAAGCTTTTACTTGTGTATGACCTAGTTTTATTTAGCTGTCTTGCTCAGTGAAAGCAATTTCTGGTAATTAACCTCGGGGCACACAGCCTGTGTGCAGTATGCTTTATCTATGCAGCAAACCAGCCTTTAGTGACCCTCATGAGCAGGTGATTCTCACTGTCTGCAAGACATCAGACAATGTTTCACAGAGGCATCCCATCCATACGTGGTAACCCCCCAGCAGTGGTGCAGCATTAAATGTGGTGTGTCCAGTTTTACCTGAGTTGGGGATTTTTTATCCTGTAGGTTTGGCCGCACGCTCCTGAAGCCTTTTGCTGAAAGAGATGAGCTGCTAGCATCCCCATTCAGTGTCTCTCTGCTGCCATCATTGTAAGATCGCCAAGCTTTTGCAAATAGAAAAGAATGAAACCATTTTTTGGGTGTGATTAGTACATCTGCCCTGCTCTCAACACAGCAACCCAGCTACTTAGCAACTGCACAACTGACAGTGATGCTGTTTTACCATGGAAGTTATAAGAACATAGCTAAATCTGCCACTCTACAAAATACTAATCTTTAAAAGTTCAGAGAATTTAAGCATTGACAACAGTTCTGGTGTTGGGCAGGCATACATCTTCCCACAATTTTCATACAGTCTATGGATTTTTAACCTTGAGAGTCCTTTTGAGGTGCTGGTGCTTCAGCCCCTGTATAAATCAGGCTCAAGTTTCTTCACTTTCAGATTACATTCTTGAACTTCATGGCTGTGTTAGATTTTGAAAAACATCTCAACTATGTAAGGTTAGCTGGTCATGGCAGTTTCAAAAAATTTCACCACAGTACCCTAGTTGTTCCAATAGTATTCCAATCTTATTGCAAAATCTAAATTACACCTCTATTTTTCCTGCCAACCATGGTTTTTTTTTCTCTATCCTCAGACCTGGAATGCCCTCAAAGCATTGGCCAAACATAGAGGGAGATGCTGAAGACAAAATACTGTAAGAGGCTGGGAAAAATGACACATTATGTGAGCAGGCTGCTAAGTAAAGGTGGGCAGAACTTGCAATCCTGAGTAAGGCACTAAAAAGGAAATAGCAAGTACCACTGAATGGTGCCACAGTGATGAAGCTAAAGGTGGCAAATTAGCAGCCTGCTTTTTTCCCACACATTTCATTTTTCTGACAACATATTCTGTGTTACATGAAATAACTGCTTTCAAATGAACCCTGAATCTGAGGTCTTAACCACTAACAATTAGAATCACCTGATTTCAGAAGTGCTTTCCTTGAAGAATGAGGAAGTATGGAATAATGAACTCAAATAAATAGAAGATTATTGCAATTCATCCACTTACATGGCATTACACTGATACATAAATAATACAGTGGTTCATTTACCTGAATCTGGAGACTGAGAATCAGATCCTGAAAAATAAATATCCAATATTAATTTGTGTTAGAAATAAATCAAATTTGCAAAAAAACACACAGAAGTATTGATAAGAAGCAGTTCTGCCTGTCTAATGAACATTTAGTATGTTTTACTTGTTATGAATATTTTTAGGTAAACAATCTTCATAAATTATTTTTTAGAACTAATCTAGCTTCTGACAATCATTTTAAAACAACACTCAGATTCCCTTCCTTGAGAAGAGATTTTGAATGAAGATTCAATAAAAAGTTTGTAATAAGCAAAACTTCTTTTTCATGCTTTGTTATCTTGAAAAAAATACAGGGGGCGTGAGACCCAAAACACATATCAAGAGCAAAATTAATTTACTAATTTATTAATTTACAAATATAATTATTTTTTTCCTAAGTATTCCTGATTGTTTTCATGAATGACTACTAAACATAGGCGGAGAGGAATTAAGAACACTCTCTGAAAAGCACTGTAGAAGTAATACATCTGTCAGTGTAATAGGAAATAGTGCTACCCTTCTCCTCCTGGCAAAGTAACGTGGCAGGAATGCACAAGAGTAGAAAAAAGCCATTCAGCAGTTGTATCTCAGTGGTTGGTGGTGATACCTGAGGCCAATAGGTTTGGAGAACTCTGAACCCTCTTCACAGCTGTTAGTGTGACAGACATTGCAGCGCGTTTGCGAGCACACCCACCGCTATCTGGAAGCACAAAACAATACAGACAGCAGCCCCAGACAAAGGGAGCAAGCACATGCAACACATCACACTGAGAGATATGCCAAACACACATGAAAATAAACATGCAGTTAGGGAACTGCTGCAGAAATGTGTGAATTTGCAGGTTTGGCAGATTAGCAGAATACATAAAATTTCACAGGCTTTAAATAACAATAAACCTCACAGAGAATAAGTGAAGAAAGCTGTGTTTAATACTTAATCCACTAGGGAAATATATACACTCTGTTACCTGAAAGACTGCTTAATTACAGCTAATTAACAAAAGCAAATAAGTAATCAAGATAAAGGCTTAAGCATTTCAGAATAATATTAATCAATAATCTGCACTGTAAAATAATTTCATTGTAGGCATTAGAAAGACACCATTCATAAACTAAGCTCATGTTTGATCAGCTGACAAAGTACTTTTCTTCAGTCTTTTGGATCCTTTATGCTCAAGAAACAAAATTACCAATGAAAACATAATTTTTTTTTCATTTTGATGAAATGAACTGGCTGTCCCTCTTCCCCTTTTTTTTATCTAATGTAAGTTAAAAAAATAAAATAAATATATATCTGGAATAGAATAACATTCTGAGGACATGACTAGAAATCTAAAATTTCTAAATTTTTAAAAAATGAGGTATAGAAAAAAACCTTCCTTCTGGATCTTGCTCAACTCCCTTCTTTATTCTACTCCTCTCTCACTGGAGCTGCCATTACATTTTATAAATACTCTCTTATTATTAGAAGACACAACTTAGCTTTTTAGCAACTCTAGCATAGTTGTAAAATAAAGTTAATAAATATTCTTTGCAATTATATTTACCTAAAGTATTTTTCTGCTCTTCACTAAAAGAATTATTTTTAGTATTTGATACCACTGAGATTTGATTTAGTGCTTCAAGGAAGTCAAGAACTACAAGTATGATAGATGCCTTTTTATTTCTGTAACCTATGACAGGGAGTTTTATAAAATTAAGGTGTTTATGAAGACCTGCAACCTATTTGCAGAAACTATCTGCCATAATAGCAGTGATTTGAGCCACAGAGTCATCTCTAACCCAGGTCTGCAAGAGAAGTAAGCTCCTGGTATTTCTTTGCTCATTCCAATATGCCTCTGCTACTTCAATCTTTCCAATACTCCCCTGGCCACAGGCCCTGTAGGACATGCATTAAGAAGTTGTTAACATTGGCAAACATCAGAGCCATTGCCTTAGAGGAAAGTGGTACCAAAAAATCATTGTCAATCCCAAGGTGCAAGGCAAAAGGCCAAATCATTTCAGCCAGCAGTAGCTGAAAGCAATACATTACCTGCCATTAATTATTGGCATTGTACATGTGACACAAAGGCAATGGCTATCAAATCTGTACATGTGTTTTAGTTTGCTTACACAAATACAGAATGGAAATGGTAATTGAAATAACATTTTCCCTTCTTGTACTACTTTTCCTCCACCACTGACATACAACAGAGGTTATTCCAATGAGATTTGGTGATGTGTTGATACTGAGGTTCTCTTCTAATCTGAATATTGGCAGACTTTAAAAGTGTACACTTAATATAAGCTAATGTGCAAAAAAATTTTTTTATACTGTCACAGCTCTTATTCAAACTCAGCGGCAATTTATTTGCAATTTTTCAAGAGCTACCTTCCTGAATTTCATGATAAAGTGAAGACCACGAGAAAATGACTACAAACATTTAATTATTTTAACTTCATGAAATTCTGCTTCCATTTAGTTTTTCATGTAACTCAATTGAGTCAGAGTTTTATACTTCATGGACCCATAATCTAGCAAAGCGTTTTACCTTCATGCAAGAGAAATAAAACAGATTTTAACCGACTACATACAATATTTACCCCTATATATATAATTTATATATATTCACAAGTCTGTTCCTGCATTGTTTATCAGTATCTGTAGAAAAAATAATGAGATCTAATTAGCATTCAGTTAAGACATAACCTCACATTTATACGATATTGAGTTTTGCAAAATTTCTAGTAGAATAGGAATGTGTGTGGCTAAGCACATATTGATGCATGATGGGCTCCATCCTCTCATCTCTGTTCAGGCCAGGTTCCCATTAAGTGGAGTATTAAGAAACAGTAAGGAAGACTGAATTAATGATCTTCTGCTCATTTCACTTGCAAACTATAAGCAATTATATCCCATAGCTGTTACTTAAGGAACAAATGAGGTTATATGAAACATTCTATACAAAACGTTTGCATATATAAAAAATGTGGGCACAAGTATGCATACACACACTCACAATTCCTTTGACCTGAAAAATTCTTCAGGAAGGAGTCCTGTCTAACTAGAAATTGCTTCAACATTGAAGCAAAGGAGACCCAAACCAGCTACGGTCTACAGGCAGTGCTAGAATATGAAGTCGGGCAATAACTCACAATCAAAACAGCTGCCTAAAATGTAATTGCAGCTTCTTTTTCTCTTCCTCTCTTAATTGTTACCACATTTAACCCTTCCCCCTAAATTCACAGCCCCAAGAGCTGCTCCCACTAGAGACAGCACCATCCTCAGTGAGCTGTATCTGCATTTGACAAATGGTCTACTGGTTGGCTCCTGCCCCAAAGCCGGATGAAGACAATTCAAAACACCATCATTCCATTTGAGAGCAAGGGGTGGGTTTCTTAAAAAGACTGTTTCAGAGAGTTAGTAAAAGCAGGGGCATAAACAAAGAGGGCAAAGATGAAAGGATGCTGACCTTGTGTGAAGGGGTGAGAGAGAGCAGCCAGGGGCAAGAAATTTTTAATAAGCTCTTAAAGCTTATTAAAGAAAAGAAAAATGGAATCCAAACATTAGGTTTGCTGAATATTATTATATTCACTGAAATTGTGAATGGTATTATTTTTCCTTTTGTCTGCACAGTGAATTCAAGTTTAGAAGTCTTTAGAGCAGGGCTTCTTACTCCTTACTTGGATTCTGACCTTTTGAGGTAAAAATATAGTGCTGGGTCCAACAGACCAGGACAGACCAAGCTGCTGCCTCTTTATGTCCCCAGGTCCAATCAGGAGGGAGACTGGAAATGCTTTCCTAGCAGACAGATGTACACACCACATCCATACGTGGCTGGACACACAGCCCCAAGCACTCACATCAACAAGGCACAATGGCCTCACCACCTTCCCCTCTCTGGCTGAAGTTCCACCAGGGAAAATGGCACATGTGGACAGAGTGGATCCTTCCAGCAACTAACTGGGCTCAAACATCGACTCTGCCACTCATTCCATGCCTGCTCTCCTGGGACAGCCCTGGGACAGCCCTGGACAAGGGAGACCCTTTGTTCCTTGGGTCACCCCAATTTGTGTTCTTGCCTGCCCTTGTGTCCCTGTGCTCTTCCAGGCTTATGGAGACAGATAGGCCTTTGATGGCTCCCATGATGGGCCTGGGAATATCCAGGCAGAGCAGGCTATAACTTGGGCTTCCACTTCTTCCACTCTTTATCTGAATTGCTTTTTGCATGTGCTGATGAGTTTTTTACAACATAATCTACACTGACAGGTAAACTTATTATTTGGTTCTTTCATGCTGCTAAAATTTAAATTTTTTGTAGAATGCCTGGAATTCAAGCCCACCTAATTTACTTCAGTGATTTAAAAGTGGCTTAACAATCTGCTCAGGAATGCTACATGGACCCAAGAAATTATGTTCTTGTCTCCCAGACAAAATGTAAGAGAATAGTCCATGTAATGAATTCCATTAATAATTTTAACAAACAGATAATATTAGCAGTCTTCCAGAACTGCATACTTTTCACTCTTGGCTGTTCTTTATGTGCTTCATCTAATGCAAACAGCTAACTTGTTTAACAGCTTTAAAATGAGATGCATTTATCAAAAATGATCTGTGTGAAATTCAGCCAAAATATTTACAGATGAACACTAAGAATCTGTTTTAACTGCTAACTTCTATCCACTTCTTACTCCTCAATGCAATTACCTCTCCTCGACATGAGCTATGCATGCACATATGCATAATGAGCAATAAGGACATTTATCCTGTGTTTTAATCTGATGTGAGTTTCAGGGGCAGCTCATGTTTTCTGTGAGTTAGTTAATCAAGCAACCAAGTTAATGATGTTCATCAATCTGTAAAATACCTGAAGACTTATTGAAGAAACCCCCTAAATATAGCTTAAAATATGATTCTGTTGATGATTGCTTACTCTAGGTTTAAAAACACACGCACATTCTATGAGACTATTTTAGATTTATGACAACATTTGAACTCCAAAAGGAAGCAGAAGCCAAAGTACCCTTGATACTTCTGAAAAACCTTCTCTATTTCTTACCTCTGCTTCTTTGCTTTTGCATAAACGTTTCATTGCCTTATGCAGCTGAATATTCCTTCCTAACATGTGGAACAGAATTAACATCAAATGCTAAAAAATCTCTCCCATATATGGTAGAGTATTGCAAACCAAAGCTCTTCAAAACATTTTCTCTGTAGACAAAAATATCTTCCGGAGGGTTTGCTGAGACAGACTGCCAAGTCTGCAGCCACAGGGAAGGAACTCTGGATTAGAGGAACCCAGCCTAAGCAGTAGATTTACTTTTTATTTTTAAAGCTGCATATACATTAGCTTTGCCACTCCACCAGTTACTGGCATCAAACGAGAAAGCTCATTTATCTGCAGGAGTCATTGAGGAAACACATATTTTTAAAACAAACCAGTGGCAAATCAATAGCATCCAATAACCTACAATTGCACAATGCACAAATTCCTGTTATAAAGCAATGAAAGAAAAAAAAACCACCAACCCCAAACCAAAGCTGCAGCACTCATGTTCAAAAGACAGGGTACTCTAGAAAGAAAAAAGGTAAAAAAAAAGGAAAGAAAAAATGGAAAAAAGGAAATAGCTAGACCAGAACAGCTTCCACCTGTGTCACTCTTTCTTAATGAAGTAATGCTTTAGATAGGTGCAAGGATAGGTGTAAGACATCCACTTTTACACCCTACTCATATGTTTTTAATTTTTTTACAGTCAGAAAACAATCTACCTCAATAGAACTGATAAGAATTGCCACATTTTGTCAATACCTTCCTTTCAGTGCAGCTGATAACATGCACGTTAATATCAAGCAGACAGAAGATGAAAAAAATGTTTTCACTGTTCAAGTGCAGAGCAGATTAAAGTTCAACCTAAAATCATGGTATTTTAAGTAACTGGAGAGGATTTCAGGTGTTTTCAGGTGTTTAAGGTCTGTTTTTAAGGCTCCTGTGTGATCAGAAGGCTCCCAATCCCCAAGAGAAGTAATTCAGCTGCAGATTATTTAAATCTTATTTCTTCTCTCTTGTGAATTCATAACTTACATAAAAATCTTAGTACAACGTTGATCAACATCAAATTCTTAACTTACATCAAAAATCTTAGTATAACATCATACTTTGGGGCCACAGTAGCACAAACTGGCAATTTACCTCTTTATTCATATTTTTTGAAGTAGAAGCTATAAAATTACCTCTGTCATGTGATTTTGACTCATATGATGGCAATGTACAATGTAATTATAGTATGATGATTAGCAAAGTTACGTCTGAAATTACAGTTCCGTGAAACAAGTCGTATTTTAGTACTACCTGAATTATGCAGACTGACAGTTTAGGAAAGACATCTCCACCAAAACGAGAAAGGAACGCGAAAAATTTCAAATAGTATTTTTATAAATGAAAAATACACCACTTTGATTAGGATTTGAAAAACAATTTAGAACAACCAAAACTCTGGGGAACAAAAGTACACACTCAAACTAGAAACTTATTTTCTCCTGTTTATTCTATTAACAAATGTAGTGGTTTCAAGTGAACTGATATATTTTAACTTTGTATTAAAAGATATGCTCCAAAAATGGATCCTACTGAGTTTCAGTTGCCTGAGACAACAGGAAGCCATGAATCTGGATTAATACAGTGATCTAGATAATGGCACCTATACTACGGAAAAGCCAATCCCTTTGACTTAGAGCATGCTGCTGAAATTCAGACTTCAATGGTAGTTCTGGTCTCCCGGTCCCACATATCATGACATGGTGAAGCACTGTGGTTAATGATAAAGCCACTGGTTTGGAAAGGATGGATAGGTCTGTCCTTGCACCACAGTTAATCTGCAAACCAGACAGCTCACCTATGGAGTCTGAAAGAGCTGACTGCAACTGAAAATTTACACCTGAGTGAGGCCACAATTTCAGCAGTCTGCTTTCAAGAGGCATATTCCCTCTTCCAGCACAAAGAGCAGCACTATCTTACTGGCTTCAGAAGTTCAGGAGCAAACATTAGGATGCTGTCACAGACCATGAAGGTAACTTTCTATAGAGTCCTTAATTGGGTCAATACATCTGTTACAGCAACTTGAGAGAAAATACAAAGCACTCTAAGTATAACACATCCTCAAGATTATCCTCAGCTGATATGCAAGTACAGTTTACAATACAGGGATATTATATGCCCCTTAATTTAGTGAGAGAATGGAAATAAGGGATTTTTAAAGCATGTGCATTTTCTTAGGAAAATGTGATGCTTTAATACCACTTTTCCATCACTCTTGTATCCTCATACTATGTATTTTCACATAAAACATACACACGCACAAAACTGATACTATTAAATTAAGCACACAAGTCTAAGCATGCACTTTTATTTTGTGTATCCATATATGTCCATACATAGAAAAACATGTATGTAAATTTTATATATGGGATACAAATGGACATAAGCAGGCATACTATCAAAATATCTTGCTTATTTTGAATTCAGCACCACCTAAAGTACAATTTATTTATGAAAATTCTAGTAAATTTGGGGTCTTTTCTGCTCACAAAACAACAGAAAAAATCTCACAGATGCAGCATACCTGTGTTCATTTTGACACTGGAGGATTTGCTATAAAAGTCTTCAGATTTCCTGCGGAAAATAAAACGATCTATTAATTTGCACAGGACAAGAATGTGTGGTACAAAATGGCAGCAGAGCTTTTTGGAGGGGTGGAGAATCACTGTGATACAAATGGCAGTCCTATTTTAACACTGCTTTAATTAAATTGGTATTGCTTGTCCTTCCAAAGTTAAAGATGAGCTGTCACTTCCATTATAAGTCACCCTATCTTCAAGTGTTTAGTAGCTTTCTTGTAAATATTTGCTGTAGGATAAAAAAACCTAGTGATTAATTTCTTGGTCTTGAAACTATAAACTAAAAATATTTTCCATACAGGAATGTGGAAATATTTTCAAAAGCTGCTTATAAGGTTTATTCACTCCTTTGCGCAAACTAAAAGATGTGAAGAGTAGATCTCTCCAAATATTTTCTAAGCAGCCAAAGTTACCAAGTATTTTTCAACAATTTATAAGCTGATGTGGTTGTTTTCATCCAGTGATTTAATATGTCTCCCCAGACAACACTGACATTCTTAATGTTGCTTGATGTATTTCTATGCACAGAGTCAGGACATGTGTCTTGGCACTCACACGAATCCTTATGAAAACTCCTAATGGAGCAGCAAACCAGGTCACTTTTTACAGATAATAACTTGCACCAAAATAATGTAAAGTGCACCCGAAAGTTGAATCTATTTAGATATCCCAACTCTGTACATTACTTACAAAAAAACAAATAGTAAAACACAACCAGTCAAACTAAAACTGCAGAAATCTCATAACATGCTATATAACAGCCAACTTTAACCCACTGATGTCATGGGATGAAGCAGACACTGTTTTCCACCTACTGCCAGTTTATGTCACAGCTTTATCTCAGGAGAAAGGAGCATCTGCATACTAGCCAGTCTTAGCTGTATTGTTACATATACAGTGTCCAACAGAATCTACTTAGCAAATGGGCAGACACACCAGAGGCCAAAATACTGAGGGCTAAAAAAAAAATAATAAAAATTCTCCCACTGCATTATGCCCACATCAAGTCCAAGACAAAACAAAGGTAAAATCAGATTTTGTAATGTAATATAGCTTCAAAAAATAAATTAAAAATATAAACTGGCTATATTGGAGTAAGTTGGAATGTATGTATGAGGGGCCATTTTTATGATGGGAGATTAAGGTAATAATTAATACAAGTAAACAAAATATCAAAACAATTCCAGTTTCAGTTCAACTCAACAGGAACCCTAAATTAACTGAGGTAATATGTATATTGCCATATTCCCTTGTATTCCTAACAAGGCCAGACATTCCACTGCTCAAAAAAATTACTGTTTTTCAGCAATGATCTGATCTCTGCTGCTATTATTCAGCCAGTTTTGTGACAAAAAAATATGTATTTTTTTGAGATTTCCTGATTTTTTGATTTTTTTTATTTCTTGAGAGCTATGGAAATAAACAACGAGCAGTGAATGAAGTTTTGTTATATTATTTTTATGCTGCAGTTATCAGTAAACTACTGCTGTGAATTTTTAAAAGCACTTATAAAAACTATGACAATTTTTCTTTTTTTATATATGGTCTCTGACTGAAATGTTGAATTTCTTTCACTGCTACAGAATGTTCTTGCAGACTCAAATTCCCACTGCATTTTCAGACTGCTAGAGGAGACACCATTTCCATGCCTTCTTTTAGCTTGGAACTGAATTGCTGACCGTACCACATATAAGATACAAAATGCAACATGATATTTATTTTCAGACCCAACAAGTACAGGACTCCAGGAACACTGCAGAGCTAAAATGATTTCTAGCAGGTGGCTTCGATATATTTACCCAAAGCATGCTTAACTCTTACTCAAGTTTTAACAGACAAAACTCAGTTTCAGCACTACAGCTCTTACTCTGGGCAACTTCTATCTGAACAGTTTAGGCCACACTGCTGACACTCACTGAGGGGCCTCATACAAACCACTAATTTTTCCACATTAATCCAATTTTGCTGAAAAACAACTTAGTCTTGCAAACCCAAAATATATGAATGTAAATAAGGCAATCCAAATCTCACACATGCAAACAGCAGGCCTTGTATTTAATACTAAAATAATTTTGAATTCTCTGCTTCTAAGGAGCTAAAGCACCATTCAAATACTTAATGATACTGGGGCAGAAGCCAAATGAATGCAATGGAATTAAATGCCATATGCCTGAAATAATTTTATTCAAGATTGTTTCAATCAGTCTTTAAGATCCTTGCTTCAAGTAGGAAGTGGTGGGGGGAGGAATAGGGAGCAAAGGGCTGGTTTTGTTTTGTAATTCAGCTCCTTCTTAATTTCCCCCTGAAAATTGTTTTTGGGAATGGGTTTGCCCCTGACAGAGGCAATGAATGTGTCACTGGAAGCATCAGGCACTTCAGTGCCCAGATGCACACCCGATGATCAGCCGAGATACTCAGCTCTCAGACAGCCAATGCTGCAGTGGAACAAAGGCCTGCAAGGGTCTGTGCACACAAAGCACCACTGCAGTGAGCGAGTTTTCAAAATCAGTCACCTGGATTGGGCTCACACCTCATCTTTGATGCTGACGTAAAAGAACACTAAGTTTAAGCACAGTAGCAGGCCTAACTTTTGCAGAGGGAAATCCTGGATTAATCTTCATGACCTTCTTCTATAGCTAACTTCATCTGGAAGAGCTAATGCAGCAGGAAATGAATGACTGTGCTAATGCACAAAAATGGGTCTGTTGGGTTGCATACAACTGTAGTTACCATTGCTACATTTAGTTTCACTAAATACATATCCTTGATAATATTACAGTGATTAAAAGCTCAGAAATTCTTTGCATTGCAAGAGGTTACTGAAAAGACTTGTGGGAATCTCATTGACATCTGCTCTATTTTCTCCAGGAGACCCTGATATCTACTTGTAATTACTTCTGTTCCCGGTAAGTTCTGAAGTGTGGGGTGCTGAAGAAAACATTCTGTCACCCCTTCTGCTTCACATTCATATGGAGCTATAAAAAGGGTTAGTGAGAAGTCAAGGAAGGTTTCCCCACCCTCAGTTTATTCATGAATCAAGATGCATGACTTGACTGTTGGGATTTAATTCCATTCTTTTTCAGATCTTCAAGCACCTACGGACATTAAGGCAGAAGAACCATTCAGACACAGTTCTTGCCTGAGCAGGAAGGTTGCACTAAGTGACCCAATGTGGTCCCTTTCAATTTTACCAATTTTGTGATTCTGTTATTTACTCTTTGCCATTTCACAAGAGATATTATGAAAAGCAGATTTAAATGTAATTTTCTGATAGAGTGTTTATATTAATTCGAAATCTAATTCTAGTACATGCTCCTTACAGTTATAATCCTTTGTATTGAATTCTACTCCAAGGACCTTTGGTGAAACGAGTGACTGATTTAGAACACAGAGTGCAGATGGATCAACAGCAGGATAGATAAGTGTGTCTGGCTGGAAAATTACAGATTTTCATTTTCTTAGGAAGAGAACAGTTCCCAGATATTTGGAGAGGACAGGAGCTTGCCTGACTTGCATGACAGGGAGTGTCAGACTTTCATTAATGGTGCTTGCCAGCATCACAGTTTGAGCTTGAGACAGAAATCTACTTGAGAAAATATCCGCAAAGTTAAGGAATTGAATCAGTAATGAGTTTACTACAAGGATTATTTATTCAGTCAGTTTAAACATTGCAGGTGATTTACAAACATACATTTATTACCAGGCAGGATCCTATTTTGCAGGAGGCAGTATATTCTTTTAATGCACATCATTAAGACTCAGCAGAGCATTCCTGCTTTGCAACAAGTCAATATACCTCATATGCCAACTTATACACTCAGTGATGGAGGGTAAAAAAAGTATGAAGCATTAGTTCTGAAGGTACAGTGAAGCTGACTATTTTATTTCTCTCCCTATTTAAAAGAAATTCTTTCAGATGTTTACTGTTAGCAGGAAAATGATGGCAATAAGAATGCAATGAAAACTTGATAAACCCCCAAATGTTTACATTGTGATGCCCACACTTGCAGAAAGGAACAACTGTCCCGAGGCGTCCTTGCTAGAAGAAGTCTCTCTTGCTGAGCCTATAAGCAGGTAGAAAGCTTATATGCAAATATACTCTTTGTATGAGAAAATGTTTGATGGAGCACAGGCAGATAATGCTTATAATGAAAATGGCTCCCCCATGTTTCAGTTTTATTAACATGCAACAAGAAGTCCCAAAAATGGCACGGGATCTTTACTAAGATCCAACACAGCAAGGCATTTGCTGAACATATGCTTTAATATGTGCTTTATGAAAGCCCCACAGAAGTATTTTTATGCTTTATGTGAAACACAAGCATAAATACTGTGTGCCCTAGACCACACTGCCTCAGCCTACGAGGATCTGAATACTCAGAAGCTAGAAGTCTAGTTCTAATTAAAGAGTTTTCACATAGATAATCAAAGAGAAAAACATAGGCAGACAATTGACATCATAGTTTCTGTAATTTTAACTTTAAAGTTTTTCTTAAAAGAAGAGATCCTCATTCTAAGTGGAGTGCCATTGTACATATTACACATATGCATATTATCTGGAAATGTACTGGTCAGATCATTAAACAATTGGGATGGTGAATAATTTGTACATGGTCATAAATTTCTACTGGAACACAATAGATAAGTCAGCAGCAGTAAGTGCGTGACCAGGGAAATCTCTACACACAAAAGTTCTGTTTCCTGGACCATCTGCAGCACTACAAACAAACTATCTCAGGCTGATATCTAACTTACAGCAGATCAGACATTTCAGCCTATTTCCTCAGCAAATACAATACTAACATTGTTATTCAGTGTACTGAAGACTTTGTGTTGGACAATGGCAGTTGGTTCTAATTCCTATGTACAAATGTTCAAAGATAACAGATACAGGAAAATCCACCACAGGAGTCTATGGCTGATCATTCTCTATAAGCACATCAAGGTTGGATGTAAGTGGAGGAAATAAAAGCACTATTAACCATTTCATGTATC